ACTTTGAGATGGATGTGGTTGCCATGGTGAATGACACAGTTGCCACGATGATTTCCTGCTATTATGAAGATCGCAGCTGTGAAGTCGGGATGATTGTTGGTAAGAAGTTGTAAATGCACACGTGCAACCAGCCTGAAGTCTGACTCATATCTAGACTCTTGCAGAAATGAGCATCCATATAATGTTTGTGGGTCTGTTTTCTTACCAGGTACTGGTTGCAATGCATGTTACATGGAGGAAATGAGGACTGTGGAGCTGGTTGAAGGGGAGGAGGGCCGGATGTGTGTGAACACAGAATGGGGGGCTTTCGGAGACAACGGGGAGCTAGAGGACTTTAGACTGGAGTACGACAGAGTGGTGGACGAAGCCTCAATTAACCCCGGACAGCAGCTGTGAGTAAACGCAGAACATTATATTTAGTTCAAACATATAGCATGCACGTCACACAGCTCTTTAATTTTCAAACGTCTACTGAATACACGTGCAGTCAGGGCTGCCACCTGTTTGAAGGGCTTAAAGTGGTGGGCGTGGAGTGTAAATGAAGTCATTTACAACATGTTACATGTTTTTTCTGAACTCATTATCATTGTCTGGTAGTACTCACCTGACCCTCACCTGAGCTTTCTGTGCAGTTGCTTAGTTACCCACTATTTTTCCTCAGGATGGTAGTAAATGGCCAGAGCCCTCACACGTCAGTGATGAGTTCAATGGAGGGGACGTCGGGTTAATCATCTATCTCTGCTGCTGCTTGCCAGTAACTGTTAGCCTAATGGCTGTTTACCTTTTATGCAGAGATTTTGCAGAGAGCTCAGCCTCATTCAGCCTCTTTAGCTTCAGCGTTGCCTTCCCAACCCATTGTCATTCTTTCCCCAGCCAGTCACAGTTGTTTGCTCACGTGTTTTATGACATACATCATTCCTGTTTAGCCCTCGTTTTCCCTCACATCTCCCATAAAATATTTTCCTGTCATTAAAATTGCCCCTCTCTCTCTCTTCTCCCCCCCCAATCTCCTGCAGATATGAGAAGCTTATCAGTGGGAAGTACATGGGTGAACTGGTGAGGCTTGTTATGATGAAGCTAGTAAATGAAGACCTGCTGTTTAATGGTGAAGCCTCAGAGCTGCTGAAGACACGTGGAAGCTTTGAGACACGCTATGTCTCACAGGTAGAGAGGTGAGTATCCTAACCTGGGCTGAGTAAACATTTTTTTAAAAGGAATGCTGCCAATTAAAAATATGACAAAAGATCATATTTGTTATGCCTGAAAGCATTACATCTGCATATGAACAGATGGAAGAAAGTAACAGATCATGACTTGAGTTTATCAATGGAGTATTTCATTAGGACAAAATGAAATAGTCTATGTGATGAAAACATGTGGTGTTTATTAAATTTTATATATTTAGTGGAACCAGAAATGAAAAATATATATATTTTCAACACACTACATTTTCTGCATTGTGCCTCTAGAAGCTGAATTTGTAAATGTTTCTCTCTCTCTCTTTTTACTACAGTGACACTGGGGATAGAAAACAAATCTACAACATCCTGTCCTCGCTGGGAGTTCTGCCCTCAGAGCTTGACTGTGACATTGTGCGTCTGGTGTGCGAGAGTGTTTCCACTCGCTCTGCTCACATGTGCTCCGCAGGGCTCGCTGGTGTCATCAACCTGATGCGGGAGAGACGCAGCGAGGAAGCCATGAAGATCACAGTGGGCATCGATGGATCTGTCTACAAGTTGCACCCATGGTAAGAAATGCTCTTAGACTTTTGAATAGTGTAGACTTTAATTAAACCTTTTAAATATATAAGCAAATGTGGTTGTATGAGATTAGATTTACCTGCTCTAAAGAAAAAGTCAATTCTCCAAAAAAAGAAGAAAGAAATAGTCGAATGTGAACAGGAGAAGCAGAAAGTAGAAGATTCAAAACACATTTATGTATAGGGATTTTGTGTCTTAAACTTAAAAATGATTAGATAGCTCTTCTAAAGACACAAGAGGAAGTGAAAGAAATGAGAACGAGAAGACTGTTCTGACCAATTATTTGTATGTCTCAGTTTCCGTGACAGGTTCCACAAAGTCGTCAGGGACCTAACACCTCACTCTGATATCACCTTCATCCAGTCAGAGGAGGGGAGCGGTCGTGGAGCCGCTCTTATCTCAGCAGTGGCCTGTAAAATGGCTACAAATCTGTTCGCGGATTAAGGGCAATTATGCACTGATCAGTCTCCTGAATGCGCAGATTGAGGAAAGCTTGAACTCTGAGGATATTTATGAAATCCACTGATGTGCCCTTACTACAGGCTGTTTGTAAGCAAACTGATTGGTTATTGTTGTAGGGTGTAAAGACAAGAATGGATCAACCTCTTATTAGAGGCTGCACTTGGTAGCATCACACCAGGCTTTAGCAAATCCATAATTTCTGAACTTTCTGAACGTTGACCGTTGCACATAAGACAGACGATAGTGTGAGAGCTGTTTAAGATTTATACTTCTTGTGTGTCACTTCTGTCTGGTTGTGTGGATGGGAGTATTTCAAGAAGGACTTGATGACAGTGTATTATAATGCCAGTTTTGTAAATACGGCTGTAAATTATAACTAAATCAAGTTTATTAGTTTGTTGTGTAATTCCTGTTTGTGAGCAATTAAATATATCTTTGGTATTGTATATTTAAATGTTATGTTTACAAATTTTGTTACTGTGTTACCTAGTATAGTGTTGTTCTTTAAATGTGCTTTGGATGTGAATAAACCTAACTGTAAATAAAAGTACTTAATAAACTATAATACTTTAAATGAATCTATTTTTATTTTCAACACCAAATATCAATTATTTTTGATAGCACAGAAAAAAAAAAATTCTTCTTCTCTGACATTCCAGCCTTCAAGGACTAAACAACATCAGTGTAATGTATCAAAACTGAAGGTAGTTGTCCAGATGTCACATTAATGAAATAAGAACTACCAAACATCAATATAATATCTGGGGTGATCGTGGCTCAAGAGTTGGG